ATATATTTATTTTATATATATATATATATATAGCAGCTTCAATCAATATTTTTATAATACATTAGATCTAGTGACTATGTGAAAGACGTATAGAATCCACAGAGAATGATCACCTAACTTTGCGCTTCCTCAGCTCTATGATTCTTTTTTGGTTTTTGTTTTCCAGCTTTGGTTCACACTGCTCTTATAGTATTGTTTCGGTTCAAACATCCAGCTGTTTTCAGATAAAAAAAAAGTTCTAAATACCCAAAGTTAGCTAACTGCGCCACCACCAAATGGCAGTCAGAGTTAGCAGTAGTTGGACTTCCTCTAGGTGGCCAGAAACGGCACAAAATGAATGCCAATGTTGCTCTGTATCTGCTTGATAACTGTTTGCTAACATATTCACCATTTAAACTTTAAAGTTGATCATTATGTGTTTTAGAGCTGGGTAAAATGATGAAAGGCCAAACTCTGTGATATGAGTGAAGTGATGTGTGCCCAGATTCCTTATTTTTAAGCTTGAATTGACAGGGACTGTGATAATAATTACTTCAGCGTCCCTGTTGAGTTAAGTACCAAGATTCGGACCCTGTGGAGCCCTGTTACTCCTGAACTCTCCAGTAAAGACCAAAAACTTTCTGTTCTGCAGATATAAACCAGTTTATGACTAATCCCCTTAGGCCAACACAATTTTCCAGTCCACCTAACAATATTTTTGATCCGCTGTATCAAATGTATCACTGATACTGATTTATGTGAAGCTTATGCAAAGGGCTAGAGCCCGACCGATGGTAAAAATGTACAGATTACTTCGAGTCCTGTTACGCAATCATATACGAGATTTGTGAAAGCCAGGTGGACAGGTGGCCTATCACACACACAGGAGCTTGTCAGTAGTAGTTGACTCAACCTTTGTTCACGCGCTTATTGCTTTTACTATCACAGCACAAACACTGATACCCACCCTCTCTCCATCTCTCTCTCTCTCTCTCTCTGTGTGTCACCCGTCTCTCCCCTCAGGCCCTGGGTGCTAGGAGCAGTAGGCAGCCCTCCCCTCTCCTCCCTGGTGACCTTTGCCACCATCGTGGAGGAGGAGAAGCAGCAGGAAGCTGCACTGATCCGCAGCCGGGAGAAGCCGCTGGCGCTCATCCAGGTAACGCGTCTTGTCTGTGTGCGTTAGCGCTCACACACTCGCCCACACACTCCTGCCATGACTGAATGTATAGCTGTGTGTGTGCAGCAAAGTGGAAAACATAGTGGTGACGTTTCACGGTGGTATGGCCACAGCATGCGTATCCTTTCTGTCCTTAACTGGCTTCTGTCAGCACCTTCACAGAACACTTTTTTCCCCCTCCTGTGGCTTTCTGGTTGCCATTATGTAAAACACTCATATTATCATTAAGCTCTCAGTGTCAGCGTTTTCTCTTTTACCCTCAAATGAAATGTGGTTTTGTTGCCCACAGTATCTCCGGCTCAATCTCCTTTTCTTGTCTTTTTCTGTCGCTGTAGATTGAAGAGCGGGCAATCCAAGACCTCTTGTTCCATTATAAGGCGCGTGACAACCCAGATGAGCTGATCGTGGTGGAGAGGTCTTCCAGAGGTCCTATGGCAGCCCCGACCTGGAACAAACACTGACGTTAAACAGCACGGCCACTACATACCGTCAAAGTGAGAACATCTCCTTGCAGTTGTCACTCTCCGAAAACATCACCAGACCCATCGGTCCTTGTTGTCTGACTCGTCCCGCCTGGTGTGGGATGAGTCTGATACAGAGCTATATTTGTCTTTGCAATGTTACTTTAAGTTTTGTTGTATTGCTGCTCAACATTTTGTTTGTATGTGTGAGAGAGAGTGAGTGTTTTTCATGACTGAATGTGGTCCTGAAGGAAGGTTTTGGGGATTACTTATGCATGTTTTTTTTATTAATTATTTCCCCTAACTCCCTCTCTTTTTGGTGGTGATTATGTCTCCACTCGTCAAACCAATAATAGGAAACATAACCGACTTTCCCAAATAAATATTGTCAGTTATGTGAAGTTAAAGTTGCCAAAGAAATGAAAATGTTCAAGCCACAAAATGGGTCCAAACTGTATCGCCTCGAGGGCTTGTGTGTGTTAAATCAGTGGAGGCTCTCGATGTGATTAAGAAAGTAAGAGTGCCAATTATCAACTGTGACTGAGCATCAGCTCGACTTAAGAAGTAAAGTGAGCTGTTTACCAAGGCAGTAGGTTTAGTTTCTTTTATGGTCCTTTTTTTTTTCTTTCTTCTCAATACTTACATCGTTTTAACTGATTGCTTCAGCTGATTTGCAGTGACATAATAACCTTGCTGGGTCATTGTTGTGTGTATTTAAAATATGAATGAAATATGTTTACCATATTTAAAATAGATTATTGTATGCGGTTATAGTGAACCGTAAATGCTCAGTAGGGTTCATTGTGTGGAACTGGCTTTCTAGCCTTTGAAGTTGTAGTGTGGTTTGGAGAAAGTGGTGTGCCTTTATCAAATAATGACCACAGACTCACAGATGTTGAAATATCATTTTTTTCCTCTTCATTATTTTCTTTCTTGTTTTATTCTCTGGCATTTTTGCCGGAGCCAGTGTAGGTTTGGTAGGTACCTCCGATCTGGACCATGTATTCTCGTCTTCAGATGCCCTTTTTGCGTGTGTGAGACGGAAGAGAAAATGGCATGTAATAAAAAATCTCAGCCGTGCAATGATTCTGTCTCCTGTCTCTGTTTCAGTTGAGATTGCAGTGGGTGTAATGAAAGGAGAGACAAATTTAATTTTCTAAATTATTTCCTTGCTTTTTTTCTGTCTTTCTTTAATAGTGGAAAGTTGGTCCTTTACTGAAAAATGTGGCTCTCACTGCATCTAATAAAGATAACATTTAATCCTCCCGTCTCCTGACACTTCAGCTGCCCTGCATGAGCAAAGGACCATTATCAAGTCTCAGCCTGTGATTAACTGTGATGACCCTGATCTGAACAGCGAGTGTGGAGATTTAGGTATTTTATTGGCTGTAATTGCAGGTAGAGCATCACATCGGAAATCAGGGAGAGACAGCTCGTGGGGGAAATATTAATTACAGATTAGGATCTATTAGTCGGTGCAGAGAAGACATGAATCAAAGCCTTGGAGGAAAAGTCTGCCGCTTTACATCACTCCACAATGAGCTGGGCTGATATCACAGGCATGGAAACCAATGAGGATTTTTTTCTAAAGGACTGCTCATCTTGGGTGTCTGTGCTCTGAATAAAAATGCAGTGTTTTTGCAGGTAGTCAAGTGCCACATTACATGTTTTAAAATTAGACCTCGAAGCAGACTACATAATGTACTTGAGCATGTGCACTGTGTATGAGTGCAAACCTTCTAACGATCCGTTTTCTGATCATCTGTGTGCGCTGTGTGATGAGGTGTTTACATGCCTCAGTATCCTGGTTATTATAGGAGTAGTCCAGGAAGCATATCAAGATTTCAGAACATTCACGTCTAACACATTAACACGATACTCCAAAAACTTAATAAATAGGATATTAGTGCACATTTAAAAGGCCCTACTTTATTCATCTATGTGGTACCTGTAGAGTGGTGGTTCCCCCACAGCCCTGTAAGTACCCTTTCACAAGTACTGCCTGTCATGTTCCAAATATATTTATTTGAAATGATTCAACAGTATATTATTTAACTATTAATATAAAATATAGACATTGATATTGTTACAATATTTATTCACACAATTAAAATGCATTTTATATCATATATATATATTTTTTTCTACTCTACAATCTTTCCGTGTACAAACAGGCAACTGCAGAAGTACCCCTGCCTAGTGATCACTGCTGTAGAGCACACAATTTTGCAGAGAAGGGTGTGAGAGAGCAGTGGAGAATATTTGAGGAAGGTGCTCTCTTCCTGTGGAGAGATGGTGGAGGATAGGCTTGATGGCCAGGGCCTATCTGCCAGGCAGATGGAAAAGTCATAGGGCTGTCCTCCAGACGGTGAGGATAACTTCAGGATTAATTTGTTTATGGAGAAAAGGGGACGTTCGAGACACTCCACGGAATACTTCCTACATTCCCAACCTGCTCTGAGTGGATAGTGCCAGGTAAAAGCAAAATGAGCAAGGTCAAACCCCCATTTATCCGACCTGATTTCATCAGTCATCAGGCTGCTTGTCAATGTCATGTGTTAAGGTCTAATGATTGTAAATGACTCTTAAGTAGTTCTCCAACTTCTTTTACGCTAAGTACACCAGCCCGGTATGCCTAGGAACGACATAATGGAAATACACTTTTAGAGCAGCTGAAATAAACAGATTTTTCAAGGTTATTTTTTAAGTGCTGTGTGTTTATTCTTTTCTGATTAGATCTGCGTGTTTCATTAGGCTCCATAACTGTGAACTACAAAGTTAAAACCGGCTGATTTTGTTTTGGTAATTTAGGAGGCTTTATTCTAGGTCAGCAAATATTGCAGCGTCACTTTTTTCTTCTACATAGGAAGTGGGTATGAGTCTGTCAAGATAAACAGGAAGTTGATGAAAATGATAAAACACATCATGACCGCAACATTAATGTGTGACCTTGCATTCCCCGTAGTACTTACAATAACCCTGTTTCAGATCAGTGAATGCAATAAAAAGCTGTTGTACAGTGGAAACAAAAAAGGTGGCTGAAATCAGTAAAGTGTTTTTAAGGACATACAAGTATAGAAAATGTGCTTTGTTTGCTTTTCGGTGAGAGTAACTAAAGTTTTTTAAATATAGCCATAAATAAACTGCAACTAAACATGCTCTTACTTACTCATGAAGTGTTGTATGGGAGACAAAAAAACCCTCTTTGGGTTGAGTATTGCTTTTCATTGTATACTGCAGCTTCAAAGATGCCAGACAGAGTGCAATGTATGGAGCTGTATGTCGTGGAGAGAAAAAAAACCTTTGTGTAATCAAATTAATAATTGTTGCACACAACTTACTCATTTGCAAGCCCAAATTTGTTTTGTTTTTTTACCAATGACGCCTCCCGAGCTCCTTAGGAATAACAATAACATTTCAGAATGTTACAGGTTAAAAGTATTCATATACTTTGTATAAATACAAGGATGTGTGTACACCCTCATTAGTTTTGAAGAGCTATACTAACATGAATTAAACGTTTTCATGGGGAGAAAATAACATCTATCAAAATGTCATCGTCATTATCAGATGCATTTTACATGCCTAGGAATCGGACATAGGTGTGATTTATTTTTAGTTTTGCAATTAATAATGTTGATACCAGACTGTCATAAATTCAAAAGCACTGCATCTATATGTAATATAACTGTTAAATATACTGTGAGATGATATAAATTTGCACAAGCCACTTCTACTACTAGTACTACTGGTGGACAATTTATATTTAGGTGGCAGTGCTACTGCATCAGACAGTAGAGCCTGTCTGATGCATGGCTGGTCCTCCATAATACTTTGAGAGTTACTTAAGAGTTATTCATACTCTTCTTTGGCTTGAATGCTGACCTGTGGCTAAGTCCGAGTGGCAAAGGTTCAACTAGTCTTTTCAATCCTATCTATCTGCTGGCAGCTTTACAAAGATCAGTGGGGCCTCAGGAAGTGTTTTACTTGGAGAGTGTGGCCAGAACGTGCCGGCCTCCCTGCTGTCTTGGCTGTCATTCAGCTCACGTCCTCTTGGCTTCCTCTTGGCTTCCTCTTGCTATCAGTTTGACAGCCTCAGAGCCACGTGTCTCCTGGCAAGGAGCAAGGAGTTGTGGCGTCTTCAAAGCTTTGTGACAACGTACGTGCCAAACCAGTGGATGTGATGACAGTGGTGGCGAATGTGAGTGATCTCCATTTTGTTTTTGAAGTTTTCTGATGCTTCTACCACCATTATCGTAACTGCCACTTTTCTCTTGCCTGCATTATGTTTTTTGAAAACGATTGCACTTAAGCACCCACGCCCCTCCCCAATTTTAACTGATATTTCATGCAAAATATATTTGCTCGTTTGGAGTGCATGGAACAGGTCTTTTTGTCAGGCATGCAGCGCCTGGCCTGTATACTGACTTTGGGATGAATCTAACCAAACCATGGTCCAATTCTGACTGGCTTTGCTTGTCTTCCTTCTTCCTTTCTTTCCATTATCTCCTCTGTCTCATTCCTCTTCTTTACTACCTGTCAATCTTTTAAAATTAAAAGAAATACACTTTTTCCTCTTCTCACCAGATAAGAACTTGGATACCACTCTCATGTCCTCACAGTCAATATTAAGCTACATGGTGTGCATGGTAGCTCACCTGGCCCCATGTAGGCTGAGTCAGGCCCTGGTACCGTTCCAGCCTTTGACCCTTTGCTGCATGTCTTCAACCCCCTCTCCTTTCCGTTCTACCTTCATCTGTCTTATCAGATACAGGCATAAAAAGCCCAAAAGTATTTTTATATCTATCTAAGCTTAAAAGCCATTGAGTTAAAGGTGTGGCTGTTTGATGAGAATGTTTTCCAGCATGCCTTCAGTTTGGATGTGCAGGTGGGGGAGAGGCTGCCATGCCATTGAATGCAAGTTAGCCAGAGACAGCATATACTGTATAGTACCGAGATCACAGCATTGTCTGCAGCATCTATTAGTTTCTCAAGTGCTTTAGCAGCAGCATTCAGCTCCTTTACTGTCCCTGGACCTGCAGGCTGTGAGATCACAAAGAGCCTATAATAAGGCAGATTAGGTGAGATGGGCTTCTCTATCTTCCTGTGAAACAAGACCCCCTCTGTAACCTTCAGCATTAATCTGCCAGGATCATTTGAAACCAGACTCACCACACACACCATTCCTTTGGGATCAAAAAGAACTGAAATAAAGGGATTCTCTGTACTGAACTGATTACTGCTGCTTCTTCTCTGCACAGACCCTGTATAACCCCACGCTGCTTTTCCTTAACGGCGGAGTGATTCTCCAGCTTGTTGTCACTGGGGGTCAGTCAGGCAGGCAGTTTGACTGAAAAGGACTGGAAATCCCATTTCTGTCCTCGTGCCTCTGATCCTCAACCAAAACTAACTCTGCCGTCAGCAGTGGGAATATCTCTCCAACAGCCGGGACAAACTAATGCGACCCTCCTGGAAATCCAGTTATTTCTGTGAAAGGAGGGTGAGGGGGAAGGAGGAGAGAGGAGAGAGGAGACACAAAGGGGATGACAATGACTGGATCTTTGTTTTCTAGTTGTGTCATCGCTCACGTTTTCTCAAATAACGTTGGCCCAGAAACCTCTCGCCCATATGTGAGACCATCGTCAGGCCACATGGTTCCTGAGGTCAAGTGTTTGAGATTGAATTTGACACCCAGTCATTCCCTCTCCTTTTCTTCTCTAGTTCACACTAGCAGCAGAAAAAAGGATTTCCACTTCTGTTGACAGTTTAAATGAAATGCCTATTGTGTGACACTGCAATTAAATCCCTTACTGTCATCACAACAGACTCTGTACACGAGCCAAAAGCACCCCGCATGCATTGTGTTATTACTCATCACTGCTTATTGGCCCATTTTCCCATTTTGGCGCAACATAACAAGCAGCTCTGTTCTCTCCTCCTCTGCTGAAGGTGCGGTTGGTAGAAAGAGGTCAGGTTTTTGATGGATTGCTCCTAATGAGACATAAATTCTAATAATTACGGTGGTGGAATCTGAAGTTCAGCATCTCTTCTGGCTGATACTGTAAAGAGCCAGAAACACAACTCACTTATAAATGGATATAATTTGAAAATAGGTAGAATATCAAAGTGCACCCGTGGTGATTTTTTAAACAGGCTTTTCTTATCGCAGGCACATTGCAGAGGGTAATACATATGAATTAAGGTTTTAGCAATAGGCCCATGGGGTTTTTTTGATGGCTGAAATCAATAGTATTGATGAGGTAAATGATAGCCATAAGGGGAAAACATACTGTGGACCGTCACTAAATAGCCTTTTGAACAACAAAGACAACTCGGGATTATGGAGGCCAAAAGTTAAATAAATAACAACATCAGAAAGATTCTTTGTGGTCTTTACAGATTTCTGTGTCTCTCTGAAGAACCCATGATAATAAAATACTGAAATACTGCACCTGTGATTGGCTGATTCTGAAATCCAATTTTTTTTTTAAAAGAATCAATTATGAAATAAAAATGAATGATATTTTATAATAATGAACTGAGTTTTAGTATTCAAATTTGTTTTTTCACAATTATGGGTAATATACATAGCACTTTATTATTTTATTTCATTGTGTTTTTTATTTCAAATATTGAACCCTCTGGGGCTCCATACTGATGGCATTAGGCCGTTGAGTGCAGTGTTGAATTGAGAGAAGCTAGCCATTACGTTAAGAAAAAACAAAAGTAAAACATCAGTGCTGCTCGTATGAGATATTGGATCATGTTGAGTAATCAAAGCTACACAAGAAGGTTTAGTGGTCCTTCCCAGCAGACATCCCTGACCTGTAGAAAAAAAACCTCAAAGGCAGTGTGGATGTTGCACTTCATAGAGGATAAATCCAACTCATGCAGTCACATAAATGGAAAACAAAAAACAGGTCTCTCTTTTTTTTCTCTTTTTTTATTTGGCTAAACTGTCCAGAACTGTTTCACAGACCCCTGAGAGCACTGTGAATGTAAAAGATTTTCTTTATGAGGAATAGAAGAAGTCTCTCCCACATAAGTCTAGAGTGAGGAAATAGTGCTTTTATTTTTTTACTTCCCGTATTTTATGTTGCTGCATCTTTTGACTAAATGAATTTAAACCCATCAGATGACAGGAAAAGACATCAACATCACCAGGGGCAAAAGGTGTGTATTATTTTTGAATTCTTGCTTCCATTTAATTTTCTGACAACATAATCTCACGTCTTTCAATAGCTACCGACAAATTAATCATCCATTTCACAGTGAGTAATGAGGTGACAAGTAGTATTAACACAAAACAACTCATCAGCGGAGCTCTGTTTTGGATGTATACCGTATGCATATACCTGCTGTTAGTCTCTGACAGCTGCTTTGATTTAGCTTTGCACCGTGCATGGAGGAAGGACTGTCCAATCCATAGCAACTCTGTCTCCCGCACCTGGGAAACATATTTACGAGGCTGCTCCCCGTCCATTGTAACTGACTAATAGTTCCATGTACATTTCCAGATGTGGGATTCGATTTCAGAGACCTGCGATCAACCTGTCTGACACGTGCCAAAGCAAAGCATGAAAACAAAACAAAAGTTCTATTTAAAAAATGAACTGAAGGTCAACCCTTCAAAACTATTACACTATGCGCATTAAAACTGATCTCTTCTTTCTCAGCTCTTAATTTGTACATTTTCTGGTGATTTTGTTTTATTGACTATAAGAGCTGCACCATGTGATTGTAAACTTGAATATAAGAGGCTGTGTGTTTCCTGTGCTGGAGAGGGAGTTACACTGTGCAGAGACAGAGCTCCTGTGTGGGCCTCAGACTTAAGACTATAGAGTAAATGGGATAATCAGGGTTTACAGATCTGGGTGGCTGCAGTGACGCAGGGCTTTACACTGCCTAATGGAGCATCCGTGACAGCTGCCATGCCCTGACCCCTCTGCTGTCATCTGACCCCCTGACTGACCCTGTCACATGCTGCCTAAACTAATCTGTCTGGTGCTTGCAAATGATTTCTGATTTCATACTTGTGAATATTTTTTTTTCTGAGAAAACTGAACCTATGCAGAAGAATAGTGATGCAGCAGTCTCTAAAGGAAGGTGTTACAGTAGCTTAAATAAAATAAAATTATACTGTCTGTGTAACAGGTTTTTACAGTTCAGAGGGCAAAATTATCATCCACACAAACGTCATCAGAAGCTGAGGGTAACCTATCAGTGGAGGGCTGCAGACCCTGACCTTAAGGTGTTAGTGGTCTGAGGGTAACAGGCTTAAGGGATTACAACAAAAATATTTCCTGTCTGTTTTAAACAGCGACGGTTGCATTTCCTTGATGGTTATTTGAGTAGGAACGTTTTTAGTTTTTTAGTTGAGGCTACTTTATGTCAAAACCTAAACCATCCCACAGAGGGCGACATGACAACATCAAGTGAGCTTTTTTATATGCAGATCAGCACCAGTTGAATCTCACAGAGATAAGAAAATACTTTCATATTTCAGGTTATTTATTTATTTTTCCTTTCTTTTTAACATTTTATATTTGGCTAGAGAAGGATGGTCAATCTTGACGCTAAAGATATTGTAATTTATTAATGAATTCAGGTACATCAATTATCATTTTGATAACTGTCTCTAACTCTCATTTTGTTAATGGCCACATCAAGGTCTTCGGATTAAAAGCATTATAAATGTATCATTAAGGCAGTCTGGGGAACTGGTTCATAAAGTCGAGTCGTACAGTTTGAGCATGTTTAGCTGGGCTTCAGTGAGCAGCAGACTGTCAGGGGGCGGGGTGAAGTACAGCTGACATCTTCAGGCTTACAGACCTGAGTGTTGCAGAAGGACGCAACATGTCAAGTGGGCAGGTAACGGTTAACTTCTGCATGTGGGGAAAATATGTTGAACTAAACAGAGCTGGGGAAAGCAAGCTGGATTTCCACTCATCCAAACTGTATTAACGGGATTATCTGTTGGCATCAGAAAGAGAAATTAAAAATATGTCGGAGCTGTGCGTAAAAATCCACAAGATTCCTGTGAGGGGTTGATCGTCGGTTGTGCCAAAGTGCGACTTGAGGAGCAGCTTATTCATGCAAATTCATAAAATCATAGGCGTGCCTTTCGGCGATGGAGTCACGGCCGGAAAAGCAAACCCCCCTCCTGGATCATCAGCGACCTTCAAAGACTGTGATGCGCAGCGCTCGGACGCATTGACGGCGGCACCGGGGCAAATGTTTTAAAAGGACAGAGAAAGAGAAGAGAAAGTTAGGACTCGTTTTCTACAGGCTTCTGTTGACTGGCTGCACTTCTTCCTCTACACAACCACCAGCTCGACTGCTGCGCCACCGGATCTCCAACCACAGGCGTATTGCGCAAACTATAACGCACTGCCGCAACTAGAACTATTTGCCTCGGGGTCTTAAATATTATTTAATTTTACTTTTTATATGTTTGCAGTCATTCGGACGACTTCAAATACTGAGAATCCTGATGCGGATGAAGTCATAGTCACCCTAATATAAAGTATTTGTGCGTAAAAACGCGACCACTGATTTGTTCCTATTTTGAAAAAACTATTTAATTTTTTATTTTATTTCACTCGCTGAGGACTTTTTCACCCTTCACCATGTCTGAGGACGACAGTAGCTCCACCGCCAGCTGTATGTCCGACACAGAAGGCAGCAACGTTAGCGTCCTCAACTGGGAGCAAGTGCAGCGGCTGGACGCCATCCTGACGGAGACCATCCCGATCCACGGACGGGGAAACTTCCCCACTCTGGAGATGCAGCCGCGGCAGATCGTCAAAGTGGTGCGCAGTCGGATGGAGGAGAAACAGATCCACGTCCGGGACGTTCGGTTAAACGGCTCTGCAGCCAGCCACATTCTGCACGAGGGCAGCGGACTGGGCTTTAAGGACCTTGATCTCATATTTTGCGCAAATATGAAAGGTGAAAGTGATTTCCAGACTGTGAAGGACATAGTTTTGGACTGTCTTCTGGATTTTTTACCCGACTGTGTGAATAAAGAGAAAATAACCCCGTTGACGTTAAAGGTACTTTACTTTGTGTTTCTGTTTTTCTTTCCTGCTTGAGTGGTTCACTTTTAGATATGTGATAATTGCATTTGTGCCAATTCGGCTTAACCCCATTATGCGTGGCTTATTGTGCAATTAGATTAGTTTAGTGATAGTAAAATGTTGCTTTTCTGTAGTTAAGAGGATTGAGTTAAACCAATTTGGAAATGATCCTTAGCTCAGCCACCTAGATCCCATATCCAAGTACATTCTATGGTCTTTAATATTTGGGTAAATAGCATTAATAACAAAAGATTTATAATAGGCATAAGACACAAAGCTATATTTATACATATACAAAATGGTTATCAAATGTTATAACTATATGCAGAATTAGGTCAAAATGTGCATTTATATAGCTGCTGAATTAATGATTGTACCTGAGGCTATTATAATATTTTTTGCTTTTTCTCTTTCCCTCACACACACATATAGGAAGCCTATGTGCAGAAGATGGTGAAGGTGTGTAATGACTCAGACCGCTGGAGCCTCATCTCCCTCTCCAACAACCGGGGAAAGAATGTGGAGCTGAAGTTTGTGGACTCTCTTCGGCGACAGTTCGAGTTCAGTGTGGACTCCTTTCAGATCAAACTGGACTCCCTGCTGCTGTTCTACGAGTGCTCAGAGAACCCCATGGCCGAGACCTTCCACCCCACCATCATGGGTGAGAGTGTGTATGGGGACTTCAGCGAAGCCCTGGACCACCTACGCCACAAGATCATCTGCACCCGGAACCCGGAGGAGATCCGAGGCGGGGGTCTGCTGAAGTACTGTCACCTGCTGGTGAGGGGTTTCCGGGCCGCTTCTGAGTCAGAGATGAAGTCCCTGCAGCGCTACATGTGCTCACGCTTCTTCATTGACTTCCCTGACATAGGTGAGCAGCAGCGCAAGCTGGAGTCCTACCTTCAAAACCACTTTGTGGGCCTGGAGGACCGCAAGTACGACTACCTGATGACCCTCCACGGAGTGGTCAACGAGAGCACGGTGTGCCTGATGGGACACGAGAGGCGGCAGACCTTAGGGCTCATAGCCATGCTGGCGGTGCGTGTTCTGGCTGAGCAGAACGTCATCCCCAACGTGGCTAATGTTACATGTTACTACCAACCTGCTCCTTATGTGGCAGATGGCAACTTTAGTAACTACTACATAGCACAGGTACAGCCGGTGTTTGCTTGCCAGCAGCCTGCATACTCCACCTGGCTGCCCTGTAACTGAGTCAGCCCCAAGGAAAGGAGGAGGAGGAGAGTCGGATTTGTTTAAACAGGAGTGAGAGGCATAGTCATTGCCTCAAACCTGCCCAGTGTTTGACAGCTGACGAAAAAAGGAGTCTTCTTTTTAGAGCTTGTGTTTTTGTTCATGCGTCAAGTATGAGCAGTTGGCTTTTACTTCAAGTACGTATTTTAATGTGAATATCTCACATTTCTTGAAATAACAACATCTTCTGATCCTGCCCAGGCCAACCAGATTTGGAAAAAGACAAATTTTGGGTAGCTTGGAAATAAAGGCTAAATGCAAATGTGTCACGGCCTTGAACGCAAGCAAGCAGAACTGTCATCGAAAATGCACGAGACTGATTCAATCAGTCTAGAACTGATTAGCCAGCACGTTCCAACAGCAGACCAAACAGCTGCATCAGTTGAAGTTGACAGCTACGCCACACACATACACACACACATTCACACACTCTAGGTGAAATCAGAGGTGTGTGCAGGGCTCCAAAACGAGCACCCTAGACTCTGGTTTTATGTCAGCTGAACTGAGGTGAGATGCTGTTAAACTAGTTTGGATAACAAACTGGCATCTCCGCCTTGCATTTGGATGTAATTATGGTTGTTTACAGACCAAAGATTTTTTTGATTGTTTCTAACATTAAAACCCAATTTTGATGGGGAAAAATAAACAAAATATGAAGCTATGTCTATTTGTATATGTGAACATATGTGTTTTTAAGTGCCTATTGCCTCTCAGCGGGCAGAGAAAAGAATAAGCAGGCCATATGATTTTTGTGAATTAACCCCACTCTGTTTATACACAAGACAACAGCACCCCGGAGGCTTGTGAATGTATACGTGAAATCAATGCACAGTCAGTGTTTGTGGATGAAAGAGAGTACCACTCTCGTCTGCAGATTTTGCAGTGAAGTAGCAGTAAAATATGCGATTGATGGGTTGTTGCAAGATTCACATTTTTTCCACGTGAATTTAGAAACACATAAACCAAAATAAAACCAAACATGCTGTATTACGTTGTCCCAAATTAATATTGCTATTGAATATTTGCTATGAGAAAGGATGACAAGCATTTTCAGATCATCAGCAACAAAGAAAACTGTCACTCACACACAATTTCTTATATATTCTGTACAGTGGTGCTTCTTTTTTCTCATCAGAGGAAAAAAAAACAAAAAAAAAAACAAGTTCGCAAGAAGTAGATAAGAGACAGAGAGAGGAAAGGGTGCATTTGGAGAGAGAGAGAGGGCCCGACAGAGAGCTGGTGTGTGCTTCCTCTTGCAGTGGAAGGATATTTGCAGAGACACCTCAGATGATGAGACACTATTTGCTGTAGCACCCTGGCAGGGAATTCCTCAGCTGCTGATGAAGAGCTTGAACTTAGCTGGGGTTGGGTCTGCAGACGCTCTGTTCGGGCTTCAGAAAATGTTGTGCCAAACGTTTCGGTGGCCCCGCTGATAGCCCTTAAGTTTAATGAGGCCATTTGTTGACGTAGGAAAAAGATGCTGTGCGGATATAGAAGACTGGGAAGTAGACGGTAGAGGGAGGAAAAAAAGGGGAGAGGAAGGAAAATGTAGTGGTTTAAAAGGCAGGAGGGAGAGTGAGTCGCTCTGGAGAGATGGGTGCAGCTGGTGATGGGGTTTATCTCTCCAGGGCTACCATGCTTTACTGTACAAACTGTCTCTGTTAAGGTCAGATTGCAACTTAATGGACAGTGGCTCTCCCGCTTTTTTCAGGGAGACCAAAAACATTCTATAATCAGCATTTTTTGCTCTCTGTTTTAATCATCTGATTGTTGTTCGAAAGAGTGGAAACTGAAGAAAAACTGCATGCGTTCACACCGGCCTCAGGAGACTTTAAGTTGCAACTTTCGTTTCATTTGTGAGGTTGCTTTATTGACGCTTATTAATGGTTTTGATGCTTCATTCCACACCATTTTAAAAGATCTGTGTATATATATGATAACATGCTTCAGCTTTGCCAACTCACTTACTCCTTGGTAACTACACTGCAGCCTTTCCGGATGGCAGATAGAAAAGGAAATGATTTTAAGCATAAAAAGGTAGTTAGGCCCAGAAGACCAGCATCAACTCAACACTGCGTTGAAAAGAGAAATTCTATCGCTGAAAAAAAAAGCATTTCTTTTTCATCCTCTGTCTCGCCTGACTCTGATAATCCATAACTGCTCTGTTCAGTTGTTTTTTCTTCTCAGTGACTGTCCATGTCGATCGTATCCTTTGGATTGTGCAGGCAATGTATTGTCCTTTTATACTCAGTGAAGTCCTAACAGCTGACTAGCTAGCTAGCTCCAGTCTGCCTGTCAGTTAGTGATTGTGCCTATCAGTTAGAGATTGTGGGTTACTGCATTGTCTTGTATGCGTTGTCTCAAATATCTGTTTCTGTTCATGCAGTCTTTTACAAATCACACAAAGAAAAAGATCCTTGTCTTGTATGTATATTTTTTATGATTGTTATTTTTTATAAATGTATCAGACACTGCGGGTGTTGCAGTGCTTTTGAATCTGTGATTGGGCTTCAAAGGATATGTTCTCAATAGCTTTTTTGCTATATTATGTTATGTGTCCAATGGGTCAAAAAGTTAAAGATGTTTTCATCAATAAAATATTTGAAAAACAGATTTGTTGTTTGTGTCTCTTGTTATTTATCTGTCTATGAGTCTAAATCAAGTTTACTGCCCTGGTTTATTCCAGACAGAATCTGACATGAGAAATTGCTCACTTGTCGATTAACTTCAGATTTCCTTTTTTTCAAAGGAGAGTCTTTTTTCACTGACGTTAGCCATTCAGTGGCTTTCAGATGGGTTCCCTGCTCACTCACTCACAGAGGCAAATCCCTGCCATGGCCTGCCGGGCCCAACAGGCCCAGCCAGAAACCCGTCCAGAACTGGCCCGCCGTTGCCAGAAAGAGCTGTTGTTGAATGTGAGGGGATTTGCATCCACCCAAAAAAGAGACTTTGACGCTTTTGTAGAATGAATATCTTTGCCTGCTCATCAAATTCTCTCTGTTAACAGCCCCCACCACCCCCCTACACCCCCATACACCGACAGCAATGCAATGACGATCAGCGCTAAGGCCTGCAGATACCAGAGTCTGACTGTCTCATGGTTGTCAGGCTGAAATGAAACTCTCCACAACATAGCTGACTGTCACACAGGTCACATGACAAACTGTCCTAGATAGGGATATGAAGAAGACAACACAGAATGAGTAAGAGATTCACTATATATAGCAGACATGATAAGGACATTATCTCTTTCACTTAAGCGCATTTGCAGCTCATTAATCTGATCCATTGAAGGAATGATTGACACATTGAGTCTGAACAGTTATACAAATACAGGCTAACATAATAACACATTTAATGGTCTATTGGCCCTTTTCAGTCCCAAACTCAGTGCTGCTTTGCTGAAGCCCCATATTATTTTCAGCTGAATACAGAACTAGGACTGTGGGTTTTGTCCGCCATCACTTACAGTGAATTTGCATTAGGAAGGGATCTTTTAATGGCCAGTATGGACAGGAGGAACAGTTGGTTCGATCACAAACACTTTCAATGTACATATGGGCATGTGAGTATTGTTTAAGACAGACTTGAAAAAATGTGAACCCTTCCTTTCAAATCTTCCCATGGTGACTGAATTTTTATGTTCAACCTGACTGTCATACTACTGATGGCTATTTGAGTGAGGCACTAATATCTGCCATTTAAAGATTAATTTGCTTATTTGTTGTCTTACATTGTGTTGGATGAGTACATTTTCTGAACTCTTATCTTCCATATTGCAGCAAATATACCTTCTGCATCATTATAATTGCAACGTAGTTTCCAGCTGTCTGTGGCAGGGCTGAACAATGTAGACAGCAACTGAGAAAGATATTTTTGTTCAACTTAGATAGGTTCATATTTTCAGTTATCTGACACAAAACACTATGCTTTACAACTGCAATAATCAATATTTTTATATTAACAATGGATCAAATTGAGAATTATCGCCTGACTACAGTTCTCCTCAGCTGTGTTTTAAGCTTCTTTCAGCTTGCTATTTTTGTTTTAGGATGCAATTTAATATTTTGGTTCAACTTCAACTTGTTACCAGCCACAGAAGGCAGATTTTTATTTTCACTGTACACTACAGTGGCCAAGAACATCAACTGAAGTTGCTCTGTGTCTTCTTGATGTCCAAATAGGCATCTGTTAGATATCATCCATATATAGCCTAAAAACACTAAAATTAACATTAAAATCATGCTACAGTATGCAACATCACCCCCATCAACCAGCAGCTAGCAGGAATACTTATATGCTTACTGTCAATGTCTCATTCCTGCAAGTGCTTCTTGTCCCAGTCTTAATTTCAAGCATGATTTTACTTAATCCCTTCTGAAGAAGCCTTCTCATTTGTGGTTCGCTGTAAAAAAGTCAGATTGATGTAACAACGGCGCCAAAGAGCCTAAATCTCAGGTCCTTAATTTGAGATGGAGCATCAAACGAAATAGCCCTCTTAATTTAAGGGAGCTTTGATTTTAAAGTTTAAAGAGTAAGTTGTGAAAGACTCTCACTGCAGCAGCTATCTGGCAGAGGGCGATAGCTAAAGCCGACCACAGGGTGAATCCACACAGCATGTGTCAGTAAGAGTCTTTATAATAACCGGTTTACCTTTAAATAAAAGCTTATAGACAATTGTCATCCATCCTCCAATTACTCATCCCTGCTGCTTGTCTGAGTGCTCTAATGGCTTTTCCACCACAAGGATTGGAGAATGGCTGGCTTCATGGGATTTCTCTCCCTTTTTCCTTCTCTGTTGCTGTGAGGCATTTTTTCCAGATTAAAGTTTTTATGGAATAAGCGGGAACTATTTGGAGAGTGTCTTCGGCAAACTGACTGCCGGGTCGGCCCACTTTGGAGTCCTGTTCGTTGGTGTGGAGCGGCGACCACGGCCAAGCAACTAATGTTTTGATTTACAATGTGGCTTAGTCTCAGAAATCCCAGTAACTAGTAGATTTCAACATTTCATTTTTAAGCATGTGGGATAGCACTGAGCAGACATGAGAGACCCCCCGACACACACACACACACACACATCAATCCGGGCTTGTAAACAAATTCCAGAGGGGTGAGTTTGTACAAACAGTAAGGAAACATTCATCATGCATGTTAAACAGCCACGAGGGAGATAAAGAGTCAGCTGCAGGTCACAGACAGCTGGACCTACAGCACATCACTGTTCTTAGTAAAACAACATCATCTGAACCCGAGTCCCCTTCTCTCGCCACACCTCAAAACAACAACCTGCTTCAAACATTTAACTCACTTACATCTGCAGATAAAATATGTTTGCCATACTGGCTGGGGGATATTGATAGATCTCATACACCATACCAGATGGTTTGTGTCCTATGATATAATCTATAACTGCTGTTTGAGTGAGGTGAGGAAATTGGCATATAAAAAGCATGTCAGCTTAAATTATTGCTCATCAATAAAGGTCCAGTGTGTAAGATTCAGGAATATTTATTGGCAGAAATGAAATGTATTAATTATCAGTATGTTTTCATTATTGTATGATCACCTGAAAATAAGATTTTTTTTACCTTAGTATGAGCTGTTTTTATCTACGGAGGGATCGCGACCAGGTCCTGTTCTACAGAGCCTGCCATGTTGAACTGCCATGTTTCTACAGTAGCCCAGAACTGACAAACCAAACACAGGCTATAAATAGGGTCTTTCAAGGTTTTTGGGAGTTTCACGTCCACCGTAGTTTCTCCTACATGTTTGGAATCGTGGATAAAGCGAGGGTGTTATAATCTGCAACAACACCACTTGATGCCAGTCCTACACACAGGTCCTTGTTTCATCCTTAAATTCACTTACTATAGCTGTCACCTGCTTGACCATATGACCACTGGCCTTCAGGCTGTGAACTCAATTACTCGTGGGATAAACATCTGTAATGTCCCGCTCAAGTTAAAGCTGCACTCACCAATATTTTCATATTAACACTGGGTTATAAGACTACTGTATGTGTAATGTAAGAGTTGTCACTAGTAGTGACAAGCCAGCAATTAATTATCAGCTGACTCTACCGTTCCCATCAGCACTACAGGGCATTTTAGCATCTTTCAGCTCATTGTTTTGGTTTCCAGGCCTGCAACGTAAGGGATCAGTCTCACCACTTTCATCAAAATAGTTTTCTGTCTTTAGCATGAAAGCTCTGATAAATACTGCAGCCTACCTGCCCAGCACCAACAAACTTAGCTAAGCTACTTGGCGGCTAGCTGGTAAACATTGTGTAGCATACATTTACATGTTAGCGATAGCAACTTTATAAGGTGATATGTCAATACTGTCGATACTTTAGAGGGCTGTACATTGTAATAAATTTGAAATTTCAAATGAATGACAGAATAACTTATTGGAGCAACAGTAACATTCTTTCTTTTAAATATTAAAACAGCCACACTAAAAGGAAGCACAACTACAGTTCCAGGAGAAAATGTTATACTATCTACAAGCATTTGCTCTGCTGTCATGTTTGTTGTTATGACAGGTTGTGATCCGGCAGATTTGGGGCAAATATGAGTCAAGCTGGGAGAGTTTTTGTAACAAAAAGTGTGTCAAACTAATTTGTAATGAAAAACAACTCTTAGTGTTACACCAGTTTAGCTTTGACCTATAGTCAACCACTTATAGGAAACAAAAGAAACCACACACTGGAAGAGATACGCACACAGAGATCAACAGCAGGTGTCAGCGAGAGTGATGGGGAGCTGACCGCTATTGTTGCTGATTTTTGAAGATTTATCGAGTCCTGTAAAAGTACACCTCAGCTGACGGTATAAGGGCAGGCAGGAAGCACAGAGCTGAAACGACTGAATGGAGCTGAGTGATTCATGAATGCTGGATGAGGTTATAGGTGTGGTGGGAGTAACGGTAGGAATGAGGTGAAAAGGGAAAATAAATGGAGGGAGTATAAACACAAAGAGTAGTGGATCATAAAAGAGTTGTGTGCATGTGTGTGTAGAGAGAGAAAGAAGGTGAGGGAGTGCAGGGAGGGAAGGTGATCCTCTCTTCCCAGAGATTAGTGTCATTGAGGTTAGCAGGTTTATCTTATGTAAGTCTCAGAACCTGCAGGACAGATGAGCATCCTGTCTAACTCAGAAACTGGGGCAGAGAGACAGAGAGAGGGAGAGTCCTTTGTCCAACTTAATAAACCGTGTGTGGTAAAAATCATTTTGTACAGATTTGATGCAATACATTTTTCATACCTCATCCCTATAAATTTCACACTTCAGCTCCACAAAATCCTGTTTGTATGCAAATTGGAAATGGTGATGTCACATGTCTGGGAGACTGGGGATCAGATATGAAAATAATTTCCTACATGGCCATCATTCAACTATATGATTGGCAGTCATAGATTTTGAGTTTGATAACTTTAGTATTCTCTGAAAGGGATCTAAAAAGAATGCACACACATTTTGTCAGCGTTAATTGGAATCTCTAAAGACTGACAGTTTATGTTGTAGTGGATAGAAATAAGGTTTTTATCATGCAATGACACCAGCAGTACCAGGGAATTTGGACTTCCAAGTATAATAATCTATATTTTTCATATA